GAGGGCAGTGTCACTGGCCCTCATATGTGGGATCCGAACAGGGGCCCTCTGGCATCCCAAGCGAGTTCTTAACCATCGCGCCACTCGGCCGGCCCAATATAAACTAATATCTTAAGGCACATTTCCTAGGTCAGTGGTCTCTATTTTTATTTATTTTATTTATTTTTTAAAGATTTTATTGGGAAATTGGGGGAGGGAACAGTGGTGGGGAATCGGGGAAGGGGAACAGACAAGTTGCTGTCGTTTTGTTCTTCAGTCTAGTTGTGGAGGACGTTGCTTCACCGGCCCATGTTGGTATTATCATTGCGCTCTTCCCAGCTGAGGCAGATTGGTCGCCGGCCTCTGAACAGCTGCTCACGGTGGCTCTTGGCAGCTCACACCGGCTGCGGCTGCTCACGCTGGCTGCCAGCCACACATGGTAGCTATGACAGCCCACTGCAGCAGGGGCTGCAGCCTATGCCTGCAGGCGACTCACAGCAGCCCAGCTCCGGGTCGAGCTGTTGTTCACCATCTTAGCTGTAGAGGGCAGTGTCACTGGCCCCATGTGGGATCTGAACCGGGGCCCTGCTGCTTAGAGCTGGCGTCCCAAGCTAGCTCTTAACCAATGCACCACTCGGCCGGCCCAGTGGTCTCTATTTTTAATCATGTACCACTATCAGTGACAAATTTTGAAACTGTACCTCCAATGTATGTGACTATTTAATTACAAATTACATAGAGATACTATTATAAATATGTATATTAAATTAAAGCTTGATTGCTTCCTTATTTTTAGATAAAAACTATGAAGAAGAGTTACAATCTCTATTTCCTGCATTCCTGTGGACCATGAGCACCCAGGTGTATGTCTAAGCTTTAGAGACTACTGCTCTGGGAGATATAAACACTCTATAAGGCCTAATCTTAGCCAGAAAGAAATAGATAAAAACCCAGGATGATGGGAAAGGGGCGCTGCTCTGGAAAACTCATCCTGGTTATGCTGCCAGAACCATAGGCTGTTGAACTGGAAGGGACTTCAGAGGTCACCTGTCCAGCGATTCCCCTGAGTGTGAATAGGTGTTGTGTCAAAAGGAGGTTTTGGGATCAAAAAAGCATGAGAAACTCTGATTTCGAGCATTTTAAACATCTTTATAGCAGAAATTTTAGAACATTTATTATGCAAATGGATATTGTGAATCTTGAAGAGGAGAATAAATTATGCTGTTTTTTAAAAAAAACAAACCAAAAACCCAACCACACTTTATTGGGCTATCTCGTGGGATTCATAAAGCACACACATAGGGAAACACTGTCTCATTTTACAGAGGCCAAAATGTCAGCTCAAAGGCATGAGTAACAGCTTACCAGTGGCTCTACAGGACTAGAACACAGGTTTCTGATTCACTCAGCCTGGAGAAAAAGCATTGTCTGAAGCTGTCTATTCCCTAAAAAAAGGTGCTGGGGCTCTGCATGAGTCTGTTAGGGATCCTCAGGGATGAAATCAGCACCTGAGCTGTCGCAGCTCTGTCACTCCTCAGAAGACCCAGTTTCATTCCCAGACACCTGTATGATTGAATCAGACCCTTAGGGGTGAGGGAAATTTCTTGAAATCCATCCAAAGAGGTGTTAAAGTGGATGAAAGGATAAACATATACATTCAAAGAATATAAAATAATTATTGGACAGAGGCTGGGAAAAAGGATAGAGAAAATGTCGCGTCAAGGAACATGATTCTAGGCCTTTCTGCACCCACCAGGGCATGTACATGGTCAGACAATCATAGAGCTATGCCGGACTCTGAAAATTTTCAGCCAAGCCTTGGACTAAAAAATTACTTTCATTATTGACATGCAAGAGTTAAGCTATACTAATAAATAGGAATAAAATTACTGACCTTTATAGTCTTAGAGCACTTCCTCTCTATAGGGCAGCACCTTTTCTTAGAAATCCCATACATGTACACGTACACACACACACACACACACACACATGCGCGTGGTCACACACACATACCATACACCACACATAGGGTTTCACACAGACACAACACAGTGAACATGGTCACACTCACATACCACACAACACATGGTCTCGCACAGTCACACATTCACATGTAACGTATATGGGCACATTCACACATACAGTCACACACACACACACACACACACACACACACACACACACACTGTTAGGACCTCTTCTAACCCATAAACCTCTACTTCACCCTGACCAAGGCACCCTCACAAAACCATTATTCTACCCAGCAGGTGCTTTTTTTTCAAAATCTGCTTCCGGTTTTCTGATCCTTTGTGCCCCTATTTACTGAATCGCTGCCTAGTGATCGTGTTTTCTCTAAGCTGTTTGCTTCGCTCTGTTCTGGTCTCTCAGCCTCCCTGCTTTATCCAACCCCTCCCTGCCCTGCTGCCTAAGTTGGCCTCCTGGCCACATGATTACTTTCCTGCCAAGAGAGGCCCTTCTCCCTTGAGATCTGAAAATAAACTGAATTCTGGGCCCAAGGAATCTGGGCTCTGCCTTGGATAACACCCTCCTGCTCCCGAAGCCTAGGGTCCCCTTTCATATTTCCTTTCCCATTTGCTGTCCCCTTGGTGTCCCCTGGCCATCCTTTTCTTGGTTCGCATCATGGCTCAAGTTGCGCTGGACCCAGGAGCAGCTTGGCTCCTCTGCTACCCAGCGACCCTCATCCTCCCTGGAAGGTCTGGGGAAGGGAGTGGCATTGGGAAGTCAGGGAAACCAGGTTCGGGCCATGGGTCTGTGGCTCCCTGGCCATGTGGCCGTGTTTCCTGACCTTCCTGAACCTTGTTTCTCCAACTGAAAAGGGGTGGTGGTGAGACCTTCCCCCCTGGGATGATGGGGTAACACAGCACTAGGCCTGCGCAGTGAGGGGGCGATTTATGCAGGTGTCACTATGACTGCTGTCAAATGAACCTCAGCACGAAGGCACTAGCTTTGCTTTTCAAAGGCGTGGTAAACACATTTTTCTTCTTCTCTCATCCCCTACCCCCAAGCCTGGGTTGGAGGTCCTGTGAAGCTTCCGGCTGCCCTGAGGGTCAGGCACATGGGATCTGGCTACTGGAGTCTGGAGTCCAAGGGGTGGGGCACCTGAGCCATGCCCAACTCTCTCCTGTGAAGGATGAATCAAGAGTGTCCACCTCACACAAATAGCCCAAGGCTTGGGATACCAGTGGCTTGCGTTACCAAATAACTGGGTCCTTAAAAACAAATTTGGGCCCTCATTAATGGCACTGAGATCTCAATCCCCGCTCTTGCTGGGGTGCTGACACTCTGAGACTTCAGCTCCCTGATCCTCCCCTCTAAATAGATGTAGGGACTGTACTGACAGGGAGGGATTTGCTCCCTGAGAGGCAAAGGGGCAGTGAGCGCTGTCCTCACAATTTAATGTCTGTGATCTGCTAAGCCCTGAGGCTGAGCTCACCCTCCATGTCCCCGGGGGTCTGATCTTGGCCCTTCATGTGGTCACCCTGTTGGGAACCTGGTCCCTGTTGACTTCTGGAGTGAGGCTTGAGGAAGGTACTGGTCAGAGTGGAAGCTCCACGAAGCACCTGATCCATGACCACATATTCTTCAAGGGAACTGGACTTTGGTCCCATATCGCAGCTAAAGAGGAAGAAGTCATCACCCTGGGCTCACCTTGGATGTGCAGCTACAATGGGCTTGTCTAAAAGCAAATCTGAGGGCCGGCTGAGTGGCTCAGTTGGTTAAGAGCTCGCTCAAGAGTTTGAGCTCTGAGCAACAGCGGTTCGAGTCAGCCCGAGCTGAGCAGCCGTGAGCTGCCAACAGGTGGCGGGATGGCTCAGCTAAAAAAAAAAAAATAAATAAATAAAAGCA